GAAAGAAAAGGATTTATCTATTTTTTTCTTCTTCTTAAAATAGGGTTATTTGCAAATGCATGTTCTCAGCTTCTCGCTGTAGTTGACGTCGAGTTACGGGACATCCTAACATCCAAACTCTCGTGTGAACACGATTTATCCTTTTTTTTTTTTTTTTTTTTTTTTAAATTTTTTTTTCTTTTTTTTTTTTTTTTTTTTAAACTTATTATGCTGTTAAAAAGAACTTAATATAAAAATTTTGTATAATATTACCCTGTTTATACTTTAAAAGAAGTTAAAAACCTTCAACAGGTGTATGAATAAAATCAATGACAATGACAATTATATATATTCAAAAAGGACAAATATAGTCAAAGGCTTATGGTTATTTTTCGACTTGGTTGAGAAGATATATTTATATCTAATAAGAGGGAATAATTGGTGATGGAGTTATTTTTATAACTTATTTGAGAGGATATATTTAAATCAAAAAGAGGAGGTTATGACTTTGTTATTTTTTTTATAAGGTTGTTTCACATATAATTTTATAATGATGAAATATTATCTATTTTGTGTTTAAAGTTTTATGATTTTATTTTTAGTCATCGTTCAAAAGTCTTTTTAATCATTAAAGTATGTGCGTCTTTTATAAATTGTGTGGAACCTTGTTTATATTCCAACAATTAAAAATTATAAGAATCTTTTAAGTTTAAAGTGGTCTTTGAAATCTTCAAATTTTTATTAAATAAATAAATACTTCAAGGTGTAGATTTTAAGTGGTTAAAAAAATCATAAGATACGAATTTAATTAAAAATGCATATGTTAAATGTTTATTATATATAATTAGTAGCATTGAGACACTCTATGCATCTATATTTTATTTAAAAAATTTAAAATAAAATGAAAATTGAGGCAAAGTAATAAAGTTGTTTAAAAATTTGAGTAATTATAGATAATTAACTTATTTGAATGGTTTATACAAGTAGTTAATGTAATAACCTACTATGACCTACACTTCTTGTAATCATCCACTCGCAGTGGAGCTAATACTACTTAGAGTCATACATTCACTAATAATTGCATATGTAATATATAACATGCATATAAGAGTAAAATAACTACACAAATATATACTATATATATATATATATACACACACACATACACACACACACATAGAGTAATATAGTAAGAGTAAACTATGCACCTTAAGTACCGATCAAACACAACTATATACAACTACCACATAAGGGTAGCACAAAACGTCCAAAGGTGCCGCCACCCACCTAATGGCCTCCACTACTCGCTACTATAAACATATCCTTGTTTTACTCTCATATCAAGTATAATCATCACAGTCCATTTACATGGAAAAAAGTATGGGTAAGTTAGATTTCAAAAAACAATGCAAGTATAGGAAAAGAACATCCATATTGCAATCAACATATTTGAACACTTCAACAACCAAGTAATCAAATATTCATCAACGTGTAAACTAGTAACCAACAATTTATAATTCACATCATACAACAAACAACCTGTTTGAAAGCTTCACACCAAACAGTCAAACTCACACCAAGTGATATTATATAATAGAATATTCATGCATATGAACACACCAATCAACAACACATCTTATACATACACCTTAACTAATGTGTCGTCACACATTTACCTACGGAGATTTTCTAATACGCCTGGGTAATTTAAGTGACTTGACCCTATCGAATCAACCTTGATCACTTTCACATCATATGCACTTACTAAATCCATAGTTAAAATGGGATACTAATCTATCTTCTAATTTCTTAAGTGTCGACAGTTATACTTAAAAAATTCGAATCCACCATCAGAACTAATATAGTTGGGCATAAACATATCACAACCTTGACATGCATTACTAAATCACATATGGGATTAACCCACAACTATCCTTAAACCACACAACCTTTCAAGTAATCAATTAAGGATTGTAACTTTCAATTTCATACTTTATTCCACATTGACTAAGGACTTAAAGGAGACTCAACAAAATCCACTCCAAGAGTTTCACACCTACTTAAGGAGGGTTTTCAACAATTGGCCTCCTAGAGTGCCAAAACAAGATTCTCTATATGGGATCTTCAACTTTCAAACAACACCATCTCTTCTAGTTCTAAGTCAATTAACATACTTTAAGTCATTTATATACATTATCCCAGGTCAATGTATATAGAGATCAAGTCACACCATCATACATAGCATACTAGCCATACATAGCATTTCCATGCTCATCACATTTTAACTATACAAATATAACATATCAATGCTTATTATGATTATCCTACATTATACAATATGTAATAGACTAAAGCATTTCTATTCATGTTCTTCATATGACATTTAGTCATCAAAAAGTAAATCATCATTATACAACAAAGAAGAAACTTAACCCTTCAAATGTCCAAGATTCTCGCTCTAAGAGACACTATTTCGCTTTGAGTGCTAATAAACTCACTAGGAGCCTTAGTCTAGTTGCTTTGATTGACATCATCCTTGCTTTAAGCGAAAAAATTCACTCAAAGTGCTTATAATTCATTTTAAGTGATCAAAGTCAAGGAACACCCCTAAACTTCCACCTCCACTAGCTTTGAGCAAGTGAGTCCTTACTTTAAGCCACTGAAACTTGTCCTAAGTGATAACAATTCACTTTAAGCGAACCAAGTCAGAGACCACCCCTGACCTAGTCACACCTGCTCGCTTCGAGCGATCCCTATGGACACTTTGAGTGAGCAAGCCTAGAAACTTGCATAATTAAAGCTTAAGAACAACAACCCATCAACCATCTTAGTCATTACAAATCTGATCAACCTATACAACAAGACAGGCAGACAACATCACAATTCACACATATATATTCTTAATAGTTCATTGTGCACCATAATCCTAACATGCAACAATAGAGTCATTTTAAATCATCCAATTGATCTCAACCACCCCAAGAACCAAAACCCATCCCTCCATCATGCAATTGGGAATATTTCCAACCACTCTCTCTCTCTCTCACACACACATACACACACATATATAATCAGAATTAGCAACATGTAATTCAATCATCTCATTCACAATCAATCCTAGTTTCGTTTACCTTAGCTCTGAGTTGATCAAGGGAAAAGGAAAAGAAGACCGAAGGAGGCAACTCCAAGCTCCGAATCACCCAAGCTTCACACCAACCCATAGGTTCTAAACTCTAGATAGGAGAAACAAAATTAACCCTCCTCAACACCCAAGACTAAGACACTTTGGGAACTAAGAGAAGAAAAACAAGCCATTAGAACTCTTAAACTCCTAGCACGATGTTACAATTAATTTTTAATATATATATTTTTAAATTATGTAAATATTTAAGGATGAAACTATTTAGAAAATTTGGAGACGAAAAAATGGTTGTAAACCCATGTATCTCCTTTATACATATGTATATATAGATATAAATTTACAATAAATTATATATAAATAAGTATTATTCTTATATGATTAAAATTAAAATTTATATAAATAAATAATTTTAAATATATAAATAATATTTTAGATTTATGATAAATAATTTATATTCCGACTCAAGATTTTTTTAATTATGATAATTTAATTAAAAAATATTAAAAATTAATTTATTAATAATATTGCAAATAAAAATTGAAACACTTAAATAAAAGTACTTAAAAACGTTTTCTCATCAGAAAAAAAATGTTTAAAAATACTTTTTCTTAGGAGTTAGGATAACAATGGTTTGTATATAGTATATACGGTAGATAGTTTTATAAATTCTTTGTCTTTATAGCTAAAAATATTTTATTTTAATTTTAAAACATATTATTTTTGTTTTCTTATAGTTTCTATCTTTACTATAGGAGTTAAAAATAAAATTTATGAAATTATAAGAATTAAAAGAAAACAAAAATAATATTTATAACAACTAAAATAAAAAATTATTATTTATAAAAATAAAAAGATAGAACTTAAACAATTATATGAACTAAAAGAGTAAATAAACAATAAAAAATAAAAACAAAGAAGATTGTTTGTGTATAATTTCTACAGAAAAAAACCTGATAGAGTAATTATAATTAGTGTTATAAGACTCGATTTTGATCAATTATTTCAATTTGTTGTCTTGAAAATTTAGTATCAAACTGTTTCAAGTCACTCAATGGATGCTTTTGTCCGATAGAATTATGTTTGACTGAGCAGGAATTTGGCTAAAAATGAGTGATTCAGTGGGTTTGGCTGGCCCATTAATTTATGTATATAATTGTTTATAGAAAATTAAACAACTTTATTTTTAAAATATTAAATATTTTTTCAATAAATGACGTCGTTCCTTAAAAAAAAAAGGTTAAATTATATTTTTAATCCATCTATTTATTTTTAAGATTTAATTTTTTTTCGTCCTTGGAGTATCTACCGTCGATAGCAGTGACTAATCTCATCGCTACGTTGGAGGCACCTCAAAGAGTGGGATAACTGACATCAAGATTTAACGCGGGTGCATACACAAGACAAAATTCAAACCCCTGACATTGCTTAAGCCTGGATCAACCCCTACTGTTAAACTACATGTTTGAGGTTTTTAAGATTTAATTTAGTTCTATTATTTTTAAAAAGTTCAATTTAGTTCTTTAACTTTTTAAAAATTATTCATTGTTATTCATGAAGACGTTAATAAAATTGAATAAAAGGATAATATTGAACATTTTAAAAATAATAAGATTGAATCAAACATTTTAAGTGATTTAATTTAATTATCTAATTTTTAAATTATGTTTAATGTTACTCTTCCATTAAATTTTATTAATATTATTAATGTTAATTTGTATGAAAAAATAAATTTTAATATTTTTGAAAAATTAGAGGACTTAATTAAAATTATTTAAAAATAATAAAACTAAATTAAATCTTAAAAATAAATAGAGAAAAAATATAATTTAGAAAAAAAATTTAAAAGTTTTAAAAAAATGTTTTCATTCATGTTTTGTTTTGTGAGTCCAAGACCCAAACGGCCAAAAACGCAAAAACCCTCGACGCTCTCGCTGTGACTGCACAAGTCGCGCACTCCGAGCCTCCGACAGCGGCGGCGCGTTCACGTTCATCTCTTCGCCGTACCGCGGCGTTCATCCTCTCCTCACCGCCCAGCGACACGACCTTGCTCTGGTTAGTACGTTAACTGCGTTTTATTTTACTTTTTTTTTGTCTATTGTTGTTGCTCTGATTTGATGAGAGTGTCTCTGATCTTGGAAATTTTAATTTGTCTCTGTTAGCTATGGTTTGATTTTATTTTATTTTTTCAATGCTTTTTTGTATTTTTTATGCTGCTTTGCTACTATCAGTCTATTATCTTACCGTGTTACTCATTTCTTCCTTTCTCTGCATTCTATCTGTTTGATGTTATTCCTTATGCGCCTAACACAAGTGTGTTTTGTTTAATGTTTACAAAAATTAAAAATAAAGCAAGTACTTCTGTAAAAAAAATGTTAAGTTCCTGCAAACTTCGAGATAGTGTACGGTATGGGAGGATTATAGTTCTATTTTTATATTTTGCATGGGTTCTTATTCGATTTGATAAGTTCTGTTGCTTGCTTTTGCCAATATTTCTATGTTGACCTAATACTTTGGTCTATCTTTGGAAATTTCAGATTATACACTGAGCATATCTTCGGGGGATCTGTGCTTTGGAGGATTAGTTTGCAGCAGTTAGATTTGTTGCTTTGTAGAAAATGCCTCTGCAACTTTTTGATGGCAGTGATTCTGAAAATGATGACATTTCAAAGATCAAGATAGACGAGGAGTATGCTCGTAGGTTCGAGCACAACAAAAAGCGGGAGGCCCTCCAGCGATTTGAGGAATTAAAGAAGAAGGGTGTCATTGGTTCACCTTCACCCTCACATTCTGAAGGGGAGGACGAATCTGAGTCTGAGTCATCGGATGATGATGACTATGAGAAGCTTGTTAATTCTAGAAGGAGGGACAAGGAGTTCTTTGATGCCTTAATTAAGGTGAAGAAGCAAGATCCTGTTCTTAAGCAGAAAGATGTTAGGCTTTTTGTATCTGATGATAGCAGTGATGATGAAAGTGGTGAAAAGGATAAAGTTAAATCAAAAGACAAGAGGGGTGAAAAGCCAATGTATTTGAAGGATGTGGTGGCAAAGCATTTGATCGAGGAGGGGGCAGATTTTGGTGATGAAGAGGAGGAAATAAATGAAAAGGAAAAACGTAAGGGTAAAAAGGTAATGCCCTCCAAAGATAAAGATTTTGTTAATAAAGATGGGAAGAAGACTTATGGTGATGAGCAAGAGGATTTGAAAAGAGCTTTTATGGAAGCAGTAGAAAGAGAGGGTTTGGAAGATGGTGAAGAGGAGTTTTTCACTGTGAAGGAGAAGGTTGGTGAGGAGAACGAAGTAGATAGTGATGACAAGGAATTTGAGGAGAAGCTGGATGAGTATTTTGGTGGAGATGTTGAATCAAATGAACATTCCAAGTTTCTAAGAAGCTATTTCATGAACAAAATGTGGATTGACAAGAGTGGCAAGAATTCGAATGTCGGAGAGGATGAATTGGAAGAGATTTCAGAGGATGAGATGGAGCTTGAGAGACAAGAAGAATATGAGTATAGATTTCAGGAAAATCCAGGAGATAGAGTCTTGGGTCATGCTCGGAAGGTGGAAGGATCAGTGAGGAAGAAGACCAATACAAGGAAAGAGCAGAGAAAGAGCAAAGAAGAGAGAATGGCTATAGCACAAAAGGAAAGGGAGGATGAGTTGAAACATTTAAAAAATTTGAAGAAGCAGGAGATACAAGAGAAGGTTAAAAAGATAATGAAGACTGCTGGAATCCATGATCGTGATATTATCCCACTGTCCATGGCAGAAATTGAAGAGGAATTTGACCCGGAGGAGTATGATAGAATGATGAAGAAGGCATTTGACGAGAAATATTATGATGCAGAGGATGCTGACCCTGACTTTTGTAGTGATAATGATGACATTGAGAAGCCAGATTTTGAAAAGGAGGATGAATTACTTGGGCTTCCTAAAGGCTGGGATGAATGTGGATCTAATGGTGGGTTTTTAGCTACAAGGGAAAAAGTATTGAAAGAAAATATTGAGAATACCAGTGATGATGATCTCCCAGAAGAAGATGAAAAAGAAGGAAAAATTTTTGAGGAAGAAGAAGAAGAAGATGACGCAATTCCTGAGGAAGGTAGTCGGAAGAGGAAGCGCAAAACAGCACTTTTGGAAAAAGCAAGACTGGCAATGATGGATGAGTACTATAAATTAGATTATGAGGACACAATTGGGGACCTGAAGACAAGATTCAAGTATGCCAAAACAAAACCAAATAGATTTGGCATGAGTGCCTCAGAGATACTATTGATGGATGACAAGGAATTGAATCAGTATATTTCTTTGAAAAAGCTTGCTCCTTACCAGGAGGAGGAATGGAAATTAAGCAAACAAAAAAGACGCATACTGAAGATGAGGGCTAAGGAGCTCCTTCGTACTTCAGGTTTGAATAAGAAGAAACGTAAGAAGTCAAGTGTTGATTCTGGCAAGATAACTTCATCAACTAATGTTGTTGAGAATGAAAAAGCAAGCACAGAAGAATCAAATATTAATAAGAACAATCTGTCAAGGAAAGCCAAGAGAAGGCGACAAATGGCTAATTTGAAGTTATCACAATCGAGGCTTAAAGCATATGGGAAGATACCCTCAAAATCCAAGCATGGAGGAAAGCACTGAAAGCTGTCAATTATTTATGCAGGTAATTGCTGGGGTTAACTTGAACTAGTTATATAAAATATTCATTGCTATTGTTAAAAAATGTCTGGCTTAATAAAACATTTTTTTTGTCTAATAAAGCAATTTATTTAAATTAATGTGATTATATTCAGTCACAATTAAAATAATATTGAATTAAGTTTATTTATTCATTCATTTTTGAAAAAGAATCGTTCCTACCTCTCCTCCCCAAATTTGTCTGTTTGTAACTCTTTGGGTGTTTTGCAGAAGGAACCAACTAACCGATGTACTTATTACAAGAGGATTGGAGCTTAATATTAACGTGCGGTGGGTATGTTAGCCAACGTGTTTTTGTGGAGAGAAGTTTTGGTTGTCTTTATGTTTTCTCCAAATGTTTAGAGTCTATGGAATTTGTCACTATACAAACTGTCAATTGGACCAAAAGTTGGTGCTTGACTGTGTTTTCAATATTGCATTTACTCATTTAGAATTTGTGCTTTAGTATTTGTTCGTCTTACGGATTCACAGCTTTTTTCTGATTGAAAACAATATGTTGCAACTGTTTCTATAGCTTTACTGAGCTCAATTGCCTTATACTAGGCATAGTATTACAACAGTTTTATGTATACAACCAACATCTTAATTTACTGATCAAGAGGCTCGTCCGTTCCTGAGTAATAATGACGAAAAGCACATGAAAAGTCTTTAGCTTCATAACCACCGCTGCAGAGTTCAGTATATCTGCACAAAACAAAATTAGTTTGGCTTTCTAAAGGAGTTGAAGCTGTTAATAAAGTCCATATAGAAATTTATATTGCCAATGTGGCTCATTATCCAAACCAAAATTCCCAACTTCTGCTAGATAACAGTAAACAAGAAATGTATTATACTATTGGCTACAGTGTAATGTAAGCCAACCCTTCTCAATATTTGAAATTAAGTGAATTGAATTACTTCCGTATTAGTTTGCGGGTAAGATATGAATTGGCATTTCATGTTGCAATAGAGGTGGCATGTCGTTACATAACTTGATAGTGGTAGCCCAAGCTCAACTTGTAAATAAACACAGTGGATATATTTTTCCATTCATTCTTAATAATAGGTTATTGAATTATGAGGCAATACATTTATGAACTTATTTTGGAAAGAAAATACAAGAGTCTCTGGTAACACTGGTGACCAACTATTTACTGAAAAAATTTAATAAAAAAATGCAATGAATTTAACACAAGAGAGTTGTACATGACATCGTTGACATGCCTAGGTTATGCAAGAAGAGTGTGACTTACATCTTTTGCGCTTGAGATGTTAGTGGGTATTTACATCCAGCCAATTTAGCTGATTGTACTGCTAGGTTCAAGTCTTTAGCCTGGAGCGCACACAATTAATTAGGCTTGTTTTTAACAACCTAAACCAGACTAAAGCAAACACTGAAACGCATGTTTAACAAACTTCAAGATTAATACTAATATTGAGCACCGATAAAAAAAATTAATCATAATAGACTTCACATTCAAGGTAGAAATAGCTTTCTATTTTTTTTAGAAAAATCCCTGCACTTGATTTAGCCAGTTTATATAACTTTGTATAAGTGGCTCCAACATAAGGTTTCAAAAAAAAAAAAAAAAAAAAAAAGAAAACAAGGATGTTCCCCTAGCATAAACCCTGTCCTTAAACCTCTCTCGACTCACCACTGACCGCAGCAGCAACCATGG